CCGCAGCGACGCCGGGAACAGCAGCAGCGACAGCAGAACCGAGATCTCCCAGCGCCCCAGGCCCAGGAGGAAGAGAAAACGGCTGAGGGGAGTTTCGATGCGTTGTCGGGTGTTGCCACTGGTGCCTCTGACCCAAGTAGTCCCCAGGATTCCCAGGAAGGCCCAGATGGCCTCCACAGCACCTCTCACGAGGCTCAGTGGGCCCCGGGGGCTCCAAAATGGCGCGACCAGCCCGAGAACACCTTGGACATCAGACCCCGACGTTATAATTTCTTCAAAACATGGAGCCCCAGAAGTCTCGACCCATTCCCAGGACCGGCTCTTCCACTGAGTCGTTGTTTGATGGTTCCGGGGCCCATCGAGGGCCCCCAGGGGCCGAAAATAGCGAAACAACAAAAAAACAAAAAACAAAGAAACAAAAAAAAAAAAAAAAAAACGCCCGTCGGGATGTTTCCATGACTCCAGGGGGTCTGGGCTTAGCAAGACGACTGCTAGGCAGGCCCGCGTCGCCACAGCCGGAATCGCCCTGGAGTCCAGGCCAGGGGAGCGCCCCAGGACAGATCGCCGCCGGTTGACTAGTGAGGTCCAGGAGCCATGGCTCACCGCGTCGCGAAAAAAGACTGCTCCCGTTCTTCCTCTACTGTGGCCTTTGGGGCCCGTCCTGGAGGCCCAGGCCCGTCAATCCGCGGCTGGAAGACTGGCCAGGGGATGGGGTCGAGAGCAGCGGCGGGCCCCAAGTCGTCAAAGAAGCGACGTCGGAGGCATGGGACCCCTGCTCGATCCCCTTCCTTGGGCCATTCTCTCTACAGCTGCGTGGCGCGCTTGGGGCCCACTGCCCAGACATGGCCACGAGAGCGCGGGTCAAGATCAAGAGCCCCTTCGCCGAAGGCCCGGGCCCTCGTGGAGGTGCCGAGCACTAAAAGCCTTCCGAGGTGGAGTGCCCAGACACGAAGAGCATGAGGGTGCCCCTCCAGAACCTGGGGCGACGAGGTCTATACATCCTGGGCCCAGGAAGAGCCAGGCCACGGGCAGTGGATATGTAGAGATCTCGTCGCCCGAAAAAAGAAGGCTGCTACTGTTGACCCTCGTGCCAGCTGCCCTCTGGGCTACCAACAAGCGACGAGGGGGGGGGGGGGGGATCGCGCAGGGACGTGAGATGAGGCTGCCCCGCACAGGGAGCAGGGACGGATCGCGCGGGAGATGGCTTCGGCGCGCGATGAGAGGGCCGGAACAGGGGGGACCCACTCGCTTGCTAATGGGGGTCAGACATCTGGGGGTCAGAGTCAACGAAGGATACAGTAGGGAAGAAAGGAACCCAGCGCGACCCCAATGAGGGGAACGTTTCCTGTTGCATGGGCGCAATACTTGGCCTTGCTCGGCATTGTTTGGCATTGTTTGGCATTCCTTGGCATTGCTTTGCATTGCTTGGCATTCCTTGGCATTGCTTGGCATTCCTTGGCATTCGTTGGCGTCCTTTGGCATTGCTTGGCGGGCACAATTGGGAACAAAACCAACAACCAGGGTGGGGAACCCGAAGAACCTCCGAGGAACGGGCACCGTAAGAATACGAGGCGGGAACCCGAGGAACCGCGGAACGGGAACACTAACAAAAAAGACGCACCGGGGGCGGGGAATCCGAGGAACCCAGGAAACCCGAGGAACCTCCGGAGAACAGGCAATGGAAGCCCCCGAGGCACCAACCTCCAACCAGGTAAGAACCGTTAAGGCAAGCCTAACTGGGGAAAAGTTAGCTAGCGTGAACCCCTGACAATGCTTCTCTAGCCACGCAATCTATGTGGAGAATACATGCGTTGCAACTTGCTGGATGAGCCAACAACGCTGTGTTATGAGGCACAATGTAGGTCGTGCGTTCTATGTGGAGCAGCTCACGAGTGGAAATCGCAGTTGTCCACTCCACTGCTCGCGCAATCATCCCACCCACCCACCCGCAGATTGTTTTGCAAAACACATGCAGCGGCGATTGCGATGAGTGCTTGGCGTTGGCTGGTGCATCCCTGCGGCCGCGCTAGCCCGCGCACGCTTGCGCGCGCAGCGGACTGCCAGTTTGGCGCGATGGACGCGGCCGCGCTGGCGCTGACCAGCAGGCACTCCCCAGCGGGCATTTCAGAGCGAGCCGGCAACTTGGGCGGGCGCGGTATCATGGCACGTCGACAAGAGTGGACATGATGATGATAGTCGCGACGCTGGTGACGATGATGACAACGGCAACGGCACGGCCAGTGAAGGCACCGAAGCTAATCACGCCGACGACGATGACGGAGTCCTCGCGTCCGTGATTAAGGTTTTGGAAGGAGTTCGACATGCGCGCGCGGCCTTCGCGCGAGAGTAGCCCGAATGGTATTATTTGACACGGATCGTGCCCCCCAACACGTGCGCAAAGGGCGTTCGAATGATGTCGACATGAGGCGCGAAAGCCCGCGTGGCCGAATGAAATGGAAACGGTGTAAAATATATGGTTTTCTCGAGACTTCGCAAGGGCGCGAGCGCAGTTGTTTTCGAAAACGCATGTTCCAAAACAATGTGGTTTAGATGTTTTCGGGGCACTCGATTCTGACATCCTTACGAGACCTAGTAGGGTTTTTGAACAAGTCGGCGTGACGACGCGCGCGCGTGCTCGTGCGACGACGCGCGCGCGTGCATTTCGTCATTTTTGTTGCAAGGGATTTTTGCGGCAGCACGCGCGCAAAGGCGTTCGAACGATTTCAACACGCGCGCTCGAGAGGCCCATTTGGTACCATGTTATGAAACTGCATGGTTTCCTTCAGAATTCGCAAAAGCGCGAACGCAAAATTAGTTTCGAAATTACATGCGATTTTGACAGTTGCTTCTTTCGGCTTTCCGACGGCCCGAGACGGCCCAAGAGCCCCCTAAGATCGCCCCAAGATCGCCCAAGAGGCCTCCAAGATGGCCCCAGAACGGCCCAAGAGGCCCACAAGGTAGCCCCAAGAGGCCCCCTAAGACGACCCAAGAGGCCTCTAAGATGCCCAAGATGGCATCCAAGACGGCCCTGGAGCATTCCAAGAGGGCCCCAAGTCGGCCCAGAGAGGCCACACAAACGGCTTCCGACGGCGTCAGACGGGCCAGGAGCCCACCAAGACGGCAGAAGATGGCCCAAGAGGGCCTCCAGTAAGGCCCGAAAAGGCCAAAATCCGTGTCTTCCCAAGAGTTGTTGAAGGATTGTGGCATTTGCTGTTTTTCAGCCTTCCGACGGCCCGAGACGACCCAAGAGCCCCCAAAGATCGCCCAAGAGGCCTCCAAGATGGCCCCAGAACGGCCCAAGAGGCCAACAAGGTAGCCCCAAGAGGCCCCCAAGACGGCCCAAGAGGCCTCCAAGACGCCCAAGATGGCATCCAAGACGGCCCTGGAGCACCCCAAGAGGGCCACGAGACGGCTGCCGACGGCGTCAGGCGGGCCAGGAGCCCACCAAGACGACGAAAGAGGCCCCCGAGAAACCCCCAAAGGTCCAAGAGGCTCCCAGGAAGCTCCCAGGAGGCCCCAAGAGTGTCCCCAGAGGCTCCCAAGAGTGTCCCCAGAGGCTCCCCAGATGCCCCCTCCTCCTCCTCCTCCTCCTCCTCCTCCTCCTCATCCTCCTCCTCCTCCTCCTCCACCTCCTCCTCCGCCTCCTCTTGATCTTCCCCGCCATCCTCCCCCAAATGTTCCCCGAAGGGTTTCCCCAACGGTTGGGGGAACACATGGCCCGATATCTTGGCAGAGCTTTTGCCACAACGCTCGGCCACATGGGCAGTTCTAGAAGGCGGGGGGCGGCGGTGATTCGCCGTAGGCGCCTTCGATATCAACAAAGACATAAGCAGTGTTCACGCTACCTGACCTATCCTCTGGGCAAGGCACCAGACCTGACATTGCTCTGAATCTCTCCATTTCCGAAGACATCTTCCACTCATCCAGCACCGTTCACTCATGCATACAATGCGCACGATACCCCTGCCCGCCAGTTTATAGCATAGGGCGGCCACTTGAACGGTCGTTGCAGTCACCATAGATTGCAACTGGCCCGGGCGCCCATCTCGCTTCCCCAGCACACGACCCTCTGGGAGGAGGACGACGGCGCGAAGAGGACGAACGACGGCCACAGATGTGCGGGCTCCACTGGGGATCCTGCCCGTGCCCGTCAAAGCAGGAGGTGGAGGGCGGAGACTCGAGAACGCGCACCCGACGCTTCGGAAATGCGCACCTGTCGAGAAGCGGAGGATCAGGAGGAGGAGCCGGCGACGACGAGGAGTCACGGCAGGATGGGGATCTCCGCGCCGTCCGAGCGGGACGACCCGCAGTGATTGCTCACGCGTGCGCGATGACGTGGCACCATCATCCACCCTCCACCCGACGCTTGGCAGCCCCGCATGCACTGAGCCCTCCTCCTCTTCCTCCTCCCTCCCCGTCATCAACACCACCATCACCATCACCAGTACAATTCTCATCACCATTACCATCACCAATACCATCACCAGTACCATCACCATTACTGTTATAGTTTCCATTACCATGACCACTACCATTATCATGAGCATGACCATGACCATGACCATGACCACGACCATGACCATGACCATTACCATTACCATTACCATCAGCATTACCATTATCATTACCATTACCCTGACCATCGTCCACCCAGAATAGTTTGCCATCCTCATCATCATCCTGTTCCTCCTCCTCCTCCTCCTCCTCCTCCTCCTCATCCTCATCCCTGCCCCCCTCTCCATTCCACTCCCTCTTCACCATTTCTCCCTCCATCCCTCTGCCTCCTCTTCGTCCTCTTCGCCCTCCGCCTCAGCCTCCGAACTTGCCCTCAGCCTCCCACCGAGAACCACTCGCGGGGGATGGGGGCGCTTCGTCTGAAGGAGAGGCGCTCGGTCGACGACGGGCCGCCCCGGGGGGAGGCGAGGGCACCCGACCTCGGGCGCACCGCGCAGACCTGGCCCGCACTGCGAGGCCAGCTCCACCGGCAGAGAGGCAGGCAACGCCGTAGGCACAGTCGGGCCTGTCCCCCTCCAGGGGGATGTTGGGCGAAAAATTAGTTACTCACTGCGTGGAGCTCCCCATAGGTGCATCTATTCGCATGGACCTGTCCGCCGTGAATGTCCAGGCGCAAGAGCTTTCGAATATAAACGGGCTTCAGTTGTGACCGTCTGGTCATGAATGCAACTGAGAATGAATTGGAGTATGAATGAGCCTCAGTAGTACGAGCGCGTCTCTGCGCATGAGCCTGGGTCCTCCTGGGGCCTCCTGGGGCCTCCTGAAACCTACTGGGGCTTCCTGGGGCCTCCAGGAGCCTCTTGGGGCCTCCTGGGGCCTCATGGGACCTCCTAGGGAGGATTCGTGCCCCAGGAGAGGCCCAATCTATAGCAACAGACGTACATAAAACATTTCGGATTGGAGCCACAGGAGAAGGGGGCAATATATAGGAACACACGTAAAACACCAATGACTCGTGCCCCAGGAGAGGCCCTATAGGAACATAAGTACACAGGAGAAGGACAATCTATAGAAACATACGTATAACATCAAGGATTCGTGCTCCAGGTGAGGCCCAATCTATAGGAGCATATGTAAAACACATGGGATTGAAGCCACTCCTGTTGCTTTCTGAGGCCTCCTGCTCCTGGGGCCTCTCGGGGTCTCCTGTTGCCTTCCGAGGTCTCCTGGCGCTTCCTCTGGCCTCCTGGGGCCTCCTGGGGCTTCCTGAGGCCTCCCGGAGCTTCCTGGGGCCTCCTAGAGCCTCTTGGGACAGCCTGTGGCCTCTTCAGTCTTTCTGTGGCCTCCTGATGCCTCCTGGGACCTCCTATGGTCTCCTGGGGCATCCTGGAGCCTCCTGTGGCATCCTGAGGAGAATCTGTGCCCACGAGCCTGCCCACCGATCGAGACGTCCTCAAAATCTGGCCCACTTGGGTGGTGAAAATGAGCGCCTCGCTCGAGACATCCTCCAAATCTGCTCCGAAAGCGAAGAATGTGTTTCACAGAAAACAAGCAAACCGCTTGAGACATCCCCACAAAACGGCCGCGAACGGGACCGTGAGATAACCCCTCGGCGGCTCCCCTTATAGGGGGTGAAAATGAGCGCCTCGCTCGAGACATCCTCCAAATCTGCTCCGAAAGCGAAGGATGCTGGGACAGAAAACAAGCAAACCGCTTGAGACATCCCCACAAAACGGCCGCGAACGGGACCGTGAGATAACCCCTCGGCGGCTCCCCTTAGGGACGTGAAAATGAGCGCCTCACATCCTCAAGGATGCTGGGACAGAAAACAAGCAAACAGCTTGGGACATCCCCACAAAACGGCCGCGAACGGGACCGTGAGATAACCCCTGGCGGCTCCCCTCAGGGGGGTGAAAGTGAGCGCCTCGCTCGAGACATCCTCCAAATCTGCTCGGAAAGCGAAGGATGTGTTTGACAGAAAACAAGCAAACCGCTTGAGACATCCCCACAAAACGGCCGCGAATGGGACCGTGAGATAACCCCTGGCGGCTCCCCTCAGGGAGAGCTGAAACCAGCGCCCCGCCTGAGACATCCTCACAATCTGCTCTGGTAGCCAAGGATGTTGGGACAGAAAACAAGCAAACCGCTTGAGACATCCCCACAAAACGGCCGCGAACGGGACCGTGAGATAACCCCTGGCGGCTCCCCTTATAGGGGGGTGAAAATGAGCGCCTCGCTCGAGACATCCTCCAAATCTGCTCCGAAAGCGAAGGATGTTGAGACAGAAAACAAGCAAACCGCCGTGAGATAACCCCTGGCGGCTCCCCTTAGGGGGGTGAAAATGAGCGCCTCGCTCGAGACATCCCAAAAAAACGGCCGCGAACGGGGCGTGCGTGAGTCTCACCATGAGTAAGTCTGAGTAGGAGCAGGTCTGAATATGAGTAGGTCTGAGTATGAGTAATTTTGTGTGTGAGTAAGTCTGTGTCTGAGTAAGTCTGAGTGTGAGTCAGTCTGTGTATGAATAAGTCTGGGTATGAGGAGGAGAGGGGAGGGGAAGAGGAGGAAGGAGGAGTAGGAGGCGTCCAAGTAATAACAAGAACCCCATCTTAGGACATGGGGAAAAATACCCTAAAATGCTCAAAAATAGTCAAAAAATAGTCCCCAGACTATTTTCTATTTCTGAATATTCCCCCTGTAGAGGGACAGGGCCGACTTGAGCATAAACTTTCGGAGGTCCGCGCGGACCTCCGAAGCGTTATGTTTCTGTCATGGTTTGTCCCTCGAAGGCCGACCTCAGGCGCACCGCACAAATCTGGTCCCCGCCGCGAAATCCCACCAGCCCTCTGGGCGTCGGTGGTTTAGGGCGTTTCCTCTTCCACCCCTCCCTCTTCCCCGTCGGGGAGGGGTTTACCCCTCCCCCTACCCCCTCCCCACTGACCTGGACAGGAGGGGCGGGGAGCGGTCAGAGCGTCCAAAACGGCCTCGGCGAGGAAGCCAAAATCATTGATTTTACTATGGTTTTGGCCCCATTTTGGCCTTCTGAGGGGGCAGCGCTAATTAGAGCTCCCCTCTTCTTTGATCGATTTCCTCCACGATGGCCGCAAGAGGCCCCCAGGATGCCCCAAGAGGCCGCAGGATGGCCCCAAGATGGCCCCAAGAGGCCCCCCAAGAGGCCCCCAGGAGGCCCCCAAGAGACCCCCAAGAGGCCCCAAGAGACCCCCAAGATGGCCCCAAGAGGCCCCAAGAGGCCCCCAGGAGGCCCCAAAGAGGATCCCGAACGGCCCACAGAGGCCCCTCCGAGGCACCCAAGACGCCGAAAAGCCCCTCAGGACGACCCTCTACTCGCCTGGGCGTCGTTTCTGGACGGGCTGGTGGGGATACGCGAAGCGTCTAGAATTCGACTTCCAAAAACACGCAGTTCCCTCAACTGCATGTTTTTCGGGGTCGACTTCGACTGCCAAAAACACGCAGGTGAGGGAACTGCGTGCTTTTCGAGGTCGCACTCGACTTCAAAAACACACAGTTCCTCTAACTGCGTGTTTTTCGAGGTCGACTTCCAAAAGCAAGCAATTCCATCAACTGCGTGCTGTTCGAGGTCGCATTCGACTGCCAAAACCACGCAGTTCCATCAACTGCGTGCTTCTCGAGGTAAAATGCAACTTCCAGATCGAATTCGACTTCCAAAAACACGCAGTGCACCCAACTGCGTGCTCGAACCATGGGCCCCAATGAACGTTGGATTCACGCCGGGCCTACGTCAGATCATCGCGTGGCAGGCGTCGTCCCACGTCTGACGGAGCGGGCGTGTGGACTGACTGTTGCGCGCCGCGCGAGGCCTCCAGGGCTTCCCCCATCAAAATCGCATCGCGGAATCGGATTGGATCGGGAATGGACTGGGTCGCCCGCGAATCGTTCCGGACCGGACCCAAATCGGGCCGCCGCGGCTGGCCCCTGCCAACGCGCCCGGCTGATGAATCGAATCAGATGGCATCGAAACGGAACCGCGACCCCAGCCCGCGAATCGAATCGCACCGAATCGGATCGTACGCGGCCCTGCCCCCTGTCGAAGTCGAGGACGCCGGCCCGGGCGCCGCCCGCGACGGCCACGGGCGCCGCCGCCGCGGGCCGCCGAGCCGAGGCTCCCGCTCAGAGTCAGCTGGACGACCGGCGACGCCAGCCCGCACTCGCGCAGCACGGGGGCGCATCGCGCAGGGACGAACACCTCGCAGTTCGCACGCGGCCTGGTCGCCGCTGCCGCGCCTCGGCGCGCGGAGGTCGAGGTCGGCGGCGGCGGTCCGTCCAGGGGCACCTCGGAGCAGCGCCTGGCAGTGGAGCCGCGCGCGCCCATGCTTAAGACGAGGCCAGGACGAGGATAAAATCGGGTGAGGGTAAGCCGAGGATCTCTGAGATCCGGCGGCTCTGGAGGATGTCTTGGGCGCCACGGCCTTCTCAGAGCGTTCCAGAAGGCTCTGAGAGCGTCCCTGAACCCTCTGGAACGGTTTTACAGCCAACCCATATAGTAAAGATGCGCGGTAAGGATGCAAGGCCATTGGGCAAGGCTGGCCATCGAAAG